AGAGAGTTCATTTTCATCTCTCAAGACAATTTTTTTTTATTTCTTATTTCTTTCTTCCTTTTACTATCTTTCATAGATTGTGGGAGAGAATCAGAAGAAAATTTAATGTGTTGGGTCTGTCAGCTGAAGTATTTCATCATATCTCTATAAAGCCCAAAGGACTTACTCCAGTTTGCACCAACAGTGCAGCCAGTTTGCTTGAACAGCTTTCTGATTGTTATCCTGTTTTTCCAGCATAATTATTACATCTATTTTTTCTAATAGTTTGCAGTTTTCTTCTGGTAACATCCATTGTTCATTACACACTCTTGAATACAACCAGAGGAATGGTGGTTTTTGTCAAAAAACCCCTACTAAGCAGGTGCCAGTACATATAATTCAGAAACTCTGTAATTATTTTTAAATAAAAAGTTATCACTAATTAGTGCATACAAAACTATAATTTCCAAATAACTTCAATTGTATGTTATAAAAAGATGAGGAATTTACATGTGGAGACTTTATTCTAGCCAGCACTCAGGGCTTTGGAAACAGCTGGTTTAAGTTGTGTAAAGCAAGCCTAATGCAATCTCTACAGTAGCAATAAATAAAATTATTGTGGGTTTGTTATTGACTGGCACTTACAATGCTTTTTGTTTTAATTATTGATTGTAACCCCAAACTTCAGACTTATGCATAAATGACTATTGATATGCAAAGGCATTTGCTGTCAGGAGAAAAGCATAATACCCAAACATGGAATAAGTCTTCATCACCTGTAGACTTTGGGTAAGTTTTACCCTAAAATTCGTATAGACTAATACCACTGGTGGAGGCCTAATCCTGTACTGACCTCACTGCAGGTATTTGTCTGACCTTTTTTCTCTGTCACAACAGAACTTGTCTTAAACTGGAGATGTGAAGTGGGTTTGGGTATTGCAAGATAGAGAAAAGATCTGCTCAGTTATTTCCTCCTGTTTGAAATCTGCCGTTTTTGTCATCTATAAGATACAGCAACCAGATTTTCAAATGGATCACTAGGAGGACACAAAACATTAATTTTAACTTTAATTTCTAAATTTTATTTTTATTTTGTTTTAGTTTATACAATGAATGCTTTCTCCCTGGAGCTCATAAAATATTTCAATTAATATTGTCCAATGCCCACACTGCAAGCTTTACATGACACAACTTGCTGTGATTGATCTGACCCAACAAGACACTATTCAAGATGAGGAGAATAGTACAGTCCCAAATAATACCAATCTAGAGCAAACCCCTGCCCAGTGCAGAGCAGCAGCCCCTTGCTGGGATGCAGTGTGCAGGGGTTGTCCCTCCTAGTCTCTGCACTGGCTCTAGAGATGTGAGCCCTCCTCCACCTGCACAGCTACAGCTCCTCTCGGCACAGCAAGGGGAAAGGGATGGGTCCATGTCCAGCCTGCACAGTCCCATTCCATGGACCCAGCTGCTAAAGTCAATCTCCCAGGAAATTCAACTCCCTGTCACAGGAGCTATGCCCTGCCTCCAAGATTCAGCTGGTGTTAATTTGGCAGCACAAGCCCAGGAAGAAATAGGACAAACAGACTCCAAACAGCAATATTTTAAGAATGTGGCCACTGTCACCAAGGGTACACCAAAAGGAGCTGAATCTGAACTCACTTGAGCAAAATGCAAAGGGTGGCTCTGAGGCTGGTGATGAGGCTGACACAGAACAGCAGGAGAGGAACAAAGGAATTGGCCAAGGAGAATCAATTCCACATAAATGAATGCATCAGAGTAGGGCCTTTCTCTGAGGTCCTCAAAGACTCTTACATCTCTCCACTGACGATGCAGCTAGCTGAAGCACTTTCATCAGAGGACTTTTTCACCAGAAGCTTATAGCTAAATAATTTGCATGAATTAAGAGGATGAATCCTATGCAGTGACACTAAGGGAAGTGACCTGCATCATTCTAATACTGTTAGAAAAAACAGAATATTATGACAACATAGCTGAAACTGTGAAATTTTAACAACTTGACTTCTTTTTGATCTTCTCAGACTTCCTCAGAAAACCTCCCTCTGGAGCAGCAAAGCAGAACAAGGATAAGCAGAGCTCTGCCTTGCCCTTCCATTCCCTAATTTTTCCTCCCTGCAGTTTTGTTAACTGTGATGGGAAAAGGAATCAGATGAGAAGATAGTCTTTCTCCTTTCTATTCCTTTCTTACAAGGGCCAGAGAAAAAGCTTTTACAGTGTCTGGACAGGATCATGTACTCATTGCAATATTTCAGCACTGAATCATAGTGGAGAGAATTTTACTCTGCTTGGAAGCATAAAAGAACATACAGCTAATTTCTCACTGAGATAACAGAACTGGAAACCAAAGTTTTAGATTTGTAAAAATAACAAATTCTTTTAGAAAGGAAAGGCAGGTCAGGTCAGGTCAGGTTGCTCCAAATCAGTGCTCAGAAGACTGGGTCAGTCAAGAAAATTGGTGATGATATAATAAAAATTGGTAACTTCAGAGCAACTCGGGTCCGAAAGAACTAGCTTTGTACTGCTAAGTGTCAGAAGAGAAGCAGCAAGCTAATTTCCATGGCCCAGAATGAATAAAAGCACTGCTTTACTAAATTGATGTGCTGATTAATATTATCTGCGTCTTTTGAACTTTATCTGATGCTTTGCCAGTAAATTTGCAAAATTTCTGCACAAACTGAAGACCCTGTCACTGAATGCAGATCCGTGTAACAGCACGGCATGAGGAAGTGTGGTGGCTGTAGGACAAAAACACTACAGTGAAAGTGTGTGAGAAGTTTCACAATCAGTGTGCTCTCAGGACTGTAATATTTCTTAAAGACACCACTTCCAGTGCTGAGTTTGGATCACAGTAGTGTGTACCTTTTTTTTCAGCAGCAGCTGAAACCCAGCTTCAGCCTGGCCTGAAGGGAAGGACAGTGCTGCCTTTTGACCCCATGGCCACATTTCCTGCCTTGAAACAATTGGCATTAATAGAGGAGAAACAACCCCCTTAACCTTTCACCTCCTTTTGTGCCATCCCACCCCCTGCCACTGGCAAATCATATAAGTAAATTCACACCTGAGTTACACACTTGAAGATTGCTAAGCAAATAACACACATGGCCAGACATAGTGAAAAAATCTTATAGAAATGGAAACACATATTCATTAATAAGACTCTGAACATCAGACAATTAAAATATAGTCAGCCCCGTGATTTCTGAAATCCATCCCTGGAACTGCTGTTGTTTACTCAGCTCCCAAACCTGCACTGAAGGGATCACTCAGAGAGTACTTGTTACTTAGGGATCTGAGGTGTACTTCTGTAGGAGCAATCTGAGTAGTAAATCTGAGTGAAACTCAAATGAGAGTTTAGATGAATATTACTTGCATTGCATTGACATTAGCATCCACAGTGGTGGTGTTAGGGAAATGGGACATTTTCCCAGTATAAATGTATGTTGCTTTAGGTGTTGTTTGATCGCTTCTCAGACTGATGAGCAGCTTTTTGTTTTTATGATAAGCTTGGAAACACAACCTGAAAGCAACAAAGCAGTGGATGGCAACAGAGATGTAATTATTATGAACATGAAAATTGGTAGTTATCACAGGCCAGGTATTGTCAGGCAATAAAGAGTAAAGACATGCCTCAAGTGACTGATAGATGAGGAGGAAAGGGGAGGATTGCTGACAAGGAAAATGTAGTAAAAGCAAGAATGCCTGTCATAGTAGTATTTACATGCATATAGGTGGAGCAAAAAGGTCCCCGAAAAAAAGCAGCGCCCTATGACACTATTCATTTCTTCCTCAGATGCAATTTACTTTTACATCTGAAAAAAAGAAAATTTTACTCCCATGAGAGCCGGGAAAATAGTTTATTCAATTACAGAAAGCAATTTGAAAAATTTAGAAATAGGTTCCAAACACAGCTGATGCAATTTCTTTTTCTGTTTTAGTTAACATAGTTTTATTGATCTGAATATATCTTTAACAGAAGTAATTGAGGGGGCAAGGAACTAGAACTGACTACTATAGTTTAATTTTCTGTCAAAATCTATATACCTGCTGTACTCTTGGTTTCAAAATTTTGGTGTACTGTCACTGGCACACAACTCATTGAGAAGATTCTGCTTTATTGGGAGCACAATGTTCATGACTTGTCCTCTCACACTTGGGTGACAAAAATACAGGATTGCTTTAAACAGGATGGCTGGATGCAGTTTCAGGAGTGATACCAGGACAGATTAAAGACAGTGCAAGAGCAAATTAAGCCAACAAGTGCTTTCTGTAGGCATGATCTTACAACCATTCACCTATGAGTAACCTTTAAAGGTAATTTGCCTGTATGAATGAGGATTTGACACATCATTCAGCGAAAGCTGTGGGATTAAATTCTCTGCTCCCTGTGCTGAAAAATGTGGCAAAATGGCCCCTTTTCTACAATTGGAATGAGTCTGTCTGTTACTATATGAAATTACTGAGGCAGGATAATCACAAATTAAGTATCACAAAAATTAGAAATCACTTAACATAATAAGTAACATAGTGATGCAAGTACCAATGTAACCCTGATGTTTTTATTGTGCATATTAAAGCATCAAATCCAGTTACCCCAAAAGCTTCAAGGTGCTTCACAGCCTCAGCATAAACCCTGGGTCTTGCTCAGACTAGTGTGCCTATCTTAGGCCATATCTCCAGTCCTGCAGCAGGTTCAGGTTCTTACCCTATCAGAAAGCAGGACTACTCAGTGAAAATGAGAGAAGGAGGGGAACAGGGCTAGCATCTGTATTTTTCAGCTGAGGAGCTGGCATCTGCATTTGCAACATCGGAGTGGAAGCCATCCTGGCAGGGCCAGCTGCCAGGTGGATACAGAGCAGACTTTGCATTGGTCAGCAGCCTTGGAAGTGAGACCTCAAGAGCAAAGTCCGACAACCAAACCCTGCCAACAGAGACAGGTCCTGTTTTGGCACGGGCCAGTATGAAGTGGCTGATGCGCTGTGGTCTGGAAGCTCTTGCTAGAGGAAATAGCTCATTTTTTATGCCCAAGAGGCCTTTGTGCCCTATGGAGATCCAGACCTTATTTCCTTTGACTTGCCAGTTGTTATTACAACCAACATCTTGTTCTTGTTTTCTGTGAAGCAGAGGGAATGTGTCTCATTTAGTCCAAGACCCTGGGGAAGGGTGGGATGGCAGGGATGGGGGACAGGTATGTGTCAGAGTCTGTGGGTATTGATGATTCCAAGATTGTAGAAAGTCTCTGTCTTTCTGCCCCGTTGCCAAAGAAGAAGCCATAATTCATCTGTGCTGTTTTCAAGGTTGTTTATTCTTGCTTATCTCTAACATGTTCTGCTGCCCTGCTGCAGGTCTGTCCTGCAGGGCAGCGTGTGGGGCTCTGCCCCCAGTGGGATGGTACAAACATTATATACCAGAAATTACGTGTGCTATATTTACAATAATGTGCCAGTATCTATCATCTACGTTAAACAGCGTGTCCCCAGCCTAAACCAACAGAAAAATGCCAACACTACAGTGAAACATGGAGGGCATGAAGAAGGAGGAAAAGGACAAGACACACCCAATTTCCTCCATCTTGTCCCCTTTGAAGCCCTAATCTAGAATCCTAAAATTTTACTTTTGCACCCGTGCCACACTTAATTGTTACTCATATCAAACACTCCGAGCTTGTAATTCATCCTGTAAGATTGAAAACTCTTTTCCCTGGAAAGAGATCACAGACAGTGCCTCTCAGGGCTCTGTACAGGGGGGTTCCTGACCTCTTGCCAGGGGCCCAGGCCCTCCAGGGCAGACAGAAGGAAGTCCTGGATTCCCACAGGTATGCTTTGAGACTGGTGCACAGTTTGCAATAGAGCTATGGCTGCAGTGAGTAGTTTTCCCATTTTCAGGACTTGATAGCCTCTGCTGGTTCACACAGGTTACTTCATGCTTACCTGGGTTGCTTCCTTTAAAAAAAAAAAAATGTGTGTGGGAGTCTGGGGTGTGGTGGGTATCCTCTTAACCTTGCCAGTGAATCAGAAGGCCTGCTGACCACAAAGGGACTCCTCCTGACTACAGGATTTGGTTTGCAGCAATCTTTTCCCCAGAAGAAAGGCTGGTTTTGCTGGTTTTTTTGCTAAATCTGAAAACATGGGCTCCCAGAGAAGTATGAGAAGTTCTGAGTGCTGTAGCTCATCATAGAAGTTCCTGAGTGCTCAAAGCACATTTCAGAAAGGCAAGAAGAGGGTTAAAACCTCTGCATCATTTTACAATGCTTAGGTGCTCATGGATATATGCTTTAGTGGCTAAGTTACTGCTTGCTTTTCTTGTTTTCCTGCTGCCTTGTAAGATCTTTACTGGCTGACTCGAAGTGGTGTAAGAGTAGCACATCTACAATGCAATAAAATGTAAATTGCCCTTATGTGTGTTTATTGTGATAGACACAAGACATGCTGAAGAGACCTAACTCTACTCTCAGTGGCACTGAACCCTGTGTGCCTGCTGCTTCAGCAGAATTACCTGTGGACTACAACAGGGCACAAAAAATCAGGTTCACTCCTGTGGCACATCTTCTTTCTTTTCCTTAACAATCAGGGGCAGTTTCCCACTTTCGCGATTTATTCCTTGCTGAAAGGCAAATGAGTGCATGTGTTCTCTTCTCAGCCTTTTAATATCACTTCGATCTCTATGGGTGCAGGACAGATTTTCCCCTCCAATAAGGGATGGGAAGGGATTAAGAAACTCAGAACTGGCAGAGTAACAGAAAGAGATTAGAGAATTCAAGTAATTGTTACAGGGGTGACAGCTCAGTTCTTGTAGCACATGAAAGCACTTAGGAAGGAATTTGAGAGGTCAAAACATAAAATTACTTTCTACCATATTGCTAGTTTTTCCTGGCTACTGTAAAAAAAAGCCCACCAGAGGACCATTTCCCCCTTCTACTTCAAAATTATTTTTTTTTTTCATTACAAAACCACCACATAAAATTTTGTGGTATGCCGTATCTGATTCTACTCTCTCTAGCATTTCTAAGAGATCACTAACTACAAGTGCAATATCTTTTTGAAGTTGCACTGCCGTGAAATGCCTTGAGTGGGGAGAAAGGCACAGTCCAGGTATTGAAAACTATTTTGGAATAGGAAATGTTCAACTTACTTCATTTCACCAGGCATTCAGAAACAAGTATTCTTCCTTTTTAACACTGTAATGATGCAAAGAACAATTTTAAATTTTTTTGACATTGTTATACTGCAGTGGACTTCCAAAATCCATGCTGAATTAAATGCTTTCAGTGTATAGCTTCTCATATTCCCTTGTATCTCAGTTTTCTATGGTTCTCCAACCACAGTAATTTCCTCATATTTCTCTAGAGAGATTTCCTCCTATATTTCCATAGCATAGCTTACAATTACTTCAAAGTGCAGTAAAATCAAATAAGCATGGAAGCCTGTGCAAAGATCAAAGAAGGCCTTATTAACAGTTGTTTTGTATGTGGTTAAATCTTGCAAGAATACAATTCCAGAAATCCAGTGTTATAAAAAATGTGTCTCTGCTGCAAGCCACTATTCCCAAAGCTGGGTGCTTGGTCTGTGTGAAGGTTAAGGAACTGCCTCTTGTGTGCTGGAGTTCAGAAGCAGACACATGCAGGAGACAGGCACAGGGCTAAATGTGAGTCTTCTTTTGCACTTCCACCACTGCAGGGAATGAGATGGGGTTACACTGACAGGCACCAATATAGCAGCACAGGAACTGAACCCCTTCTTATTACAAGCTGGTGTGAAGAGCTGCACAGAGGAAACCATTTGCAGTACACAGTAACATGTTTTTATTGGCCCAAATAAAGCACAGGAAACGTAGTAAATATTTTCAAGTGCCACCTCCTGGCATTTCATTTATTATTTACATAAATACAGCTATTTTCCATTTCATAGAGCAGATGAAGGGCTCTAGAAATTGCATAAATCTCATCAGCTGTCTGGCCAACAGTTGAGCAGAATTCGAAGCTAGATGTTACCACATTTTGTGCACAGCACAGAAATTGCACCTTTCTCCTGAGCAGTTCAGAGACCTGCAAACATGAATGAAGTCTCTGTAAATCCGTGTGAAGTAGATGTAATTACTGGAAGAGAATTCCCATTGCATGCAGGACCCACCAAGGACAGTAGTTACCAATTCTCAGTTCTACTGCAGACCTCATGATAAATATCTTGTGAACACTCCAGCTCCAGGAGCCAAGAGATTGTGGGACAATATAAGGTCTATTCAGGAATAAATTTGGCTATGTGTGCAGTTCTGGAAGGCAGTGGTGAGAACCTGAAAAAGAGGACTCCCACCAGCCTAGAAAGCAAAGAAACAAGAGGTACTTTCAGAAACAATTTTTTTTTATTATTTATTTCAGTGGCTGGTGAAGTGAAGAGTTGGTTAATTAATTTGCATAGTGGGGCTTGGCAGCATTGCAAGAGCTGAATGATGAGGCCAGCATCTGACAGGAACTCTGTGATGCAGCTGGCAGGAAATCCCAGGCTTTCTCACTCCTAACTCCTGCCTGCAAATTGCTTCACTGATCAGTACATTTAATTTTTACTGATGATACATACTAAATATGGAATTGGAGCCTCTGATTTGTTTTGGTTAGTTATTCCTGTTTTGGTTTTAATGTTACTGTCACTTAATGTGAAATCCCTCTATATGGCTCTTTTCCATGCAGGGTTGAAATGTCTAGAATGTTGTGAGACAGAATTTTATAGACTTTGAGAAAAAACAAAATTAATTTAATGATGTGAGAAAGAGGTTCAATATAACCTTGAGTTTTTAGGACAAATTATTAGCCTTCTGCAAAAACTCCATCCAAGATTTATATTGCCTACAAAACTCACTAATGATATTGAGGCAATAGTCTTATGAACCAGGCTAAAAGAAATTATAAATCTAAATAAGCACATTTGAGCATGAGCCTGCCATTTTCTCCAGACAGAAACAAGATTTATTGTGAGAGTTATGAAACTTTGGACCCTATTATACATTAAAGAATCTATTTATGACCATGCAGTTAGCTCTGAATTATTATGCTTATTCTAAACATTTCTTTTGCAAGATTTATGTCTCAGTCATTTTACAACTTTCAGGGATGAAACTTGCTATTCATGGTCACAGCACATAAAAAAAAAAAAAAATCTTCAAATATTCGTTTTAAATACAATTGGTCACACTTCAAAACTAGAGAGGTGAAAATTTTTATTCTTATTTTAGGATATCCTCACACTTATTAAAAGATATTGTGACCATACTTAGCTTTAAACAATACTTAATTTTAGAAGTTGTGATTTTATATCCCCAGTCCCTGAGGTATTCAAGCTCATTATTTACAATACTGTTTTTCAGATATAAATGTACAAGAATTATTTCATGCAAAAGGCGGTTGCTGGAAACCTAAGTAACATTTATGAAATTATTTTCTTGCTGGTGGAAAAAGTATTTAATTTGAATAAAAATAATTTCTAATTTTGCCAGAATTCTCTGTTAGAATTGGGAACAGAGTGTTGCTTAAGATCAAGGAAAAAAAGGTATGATCCCCATGTCCTACTATCCAGGTCTACCAGACATCTAATCTTTAAAGACTTAACTGGGAAAAGTGTTGTTGATATCTTGGTCACATACCTGCTCGAAAAATCATAGATACTTGTCTCTATAGATGGACTAGATAGCCAGCATGTGGCACTGGATTATAGCTGGATCAATCTAGGTTTTGTTTAGAATTTTGTTTTTTAAACAAAAAGAGTGACCAGCACTTACATGTAGAGGCTTCAGCTTGTCACAGCTCCTGTGGCTTGCAGACTCTCACCTACTTAGCGTCTGAAAATATAGAATGGAGTTCTCAGTGTTTCCAGGTCATCAAAGGCAGGGCAGAGAGAAGAACAAAACTTCCAGCCACTGTTTAAACTATAGCAAAGTCCCATAGCAGAATTCCAGGTGAGATATATGGACAAATGATGCTTAAACTTTGTCATGCAGAAGGGTCCAGTGACAGCTCTGAGGTGTTGAAAACATTTTGCTGTCTTGGCAGGACAATGCATGAAAGCAAACAGCAGAATGTTCCATACCTGCCACCCGGTATGGCCCAGTGTGTAGAGTCACTGATGGTATCCCTGCCAGACTGACCAGGAGAACCTCAGTACTCCAGCAGGCAGAATGTTAGACTGAGCTTCATTTATTTAAGTTGATCAAAGATTAATTTTTTTTTTTTAAATACAGAGTAGTGCCACCATAATTCTTAACAGAGGCTAATTTTTTTTTGGGCAAAAATACTTTAAAAATTGTGTGAGATGTGACTGCCTTCAATAACAGGGAGCTGGAACAAGGTTTTTTTGGAAGTGTGGTTCCCACCCCTCATCAGATATTTCATGTGTCTGTATGTCTGCACCAGTAATTAAAAATAACCAAACGTAAAAGTCTGCACATTCCCCATTCACTGTTCCAAAATCATAACCAGCTTTCTTTTGGAAAGAAACTACAGCCAAATGAAAGTGATGTTGGTCTCAAATCATATTAACTTGTAGAGCCTTGTGCACAAAAGGACCACTCACACAGTTGTTCCTATGAGGCATGACACAGAGTTTGGCCCTTTTTAGGAAACTCATTACTTAACAATATATTGTTGTGTTTGATTGAATTGGCTCAGATAAGCTTGGCAAGGCTGCAAGAAAAATCTGTGTTGTCATGCCAAATGTTTTTCAACCTGTGTGTGCCTGTGTTGAGGTCTAATAAGGTTATCTGTGGTGCATATGCTTGTCATCAAAAGGTTACATTCTTGTACTGTCCATACAGGCTTCAGGGTGGTGGCATTTAAAGCTGAAAAACCCACATGAAAGGAAATTCTGCCCTAGAGCACGGTTAGATTAGGCACCCTTTGCCCTATTCCACTTACGTGCCTGTGACTGGCTACACTGTCTCTCCAAAAGAAGAATGGGACAGCACCCTTTTCAAATTCATCTTCTGTCTATTTTGTGTAGCACTTATGGAGACAGACATGTGGGTTTGCACATTTTGGGGATTGATGGGATGATGGAAGCAACTTCCTCTTATCCCATATGAAAGCTTTTGTCACCGCACCAGAAAAGAGGACCTTACCTTTATCAAAGGTGTTTTGAAATGAGCCTGGAACCTGCTGCTGTTCCTGCACATTAGGTACATGCTGAAAATGTTGCATTCCTGGAAGTGTAGGAGGCCAGTTTGGGTTTGGATGGGCTTTGAGCACCTTGGTCTAGTGGAAGGTTCCCTGCCCATGGGAACTAGATTATGTTTAAGGACCCTTCCAACACAAATCATGCTCTGATTCTATAATATGACTGCTGGACATATCTTACTAGAAGAGAAAGTGTCCCTACCCAAAAGAGAAGGCTCTGCCTTTGGGTAGGGATAATATATCCAGCTCACCAGTCTTTTGTCCAGACAGGCTCTGACATTCATATTTAGGCATCTGCTAGATTTTTCTGGCTTTTTGAAGCTCATCCCAGGCTGGGGACTTCTGGGCTGTGGATGGTTTTCAGTGATACCATATGAGGCCTCAGATTAGGTGCCATTGCAGGTTCTTTGATTTTCATGTCAAAGTAGGGAACACTGGAAATTTTTCCCTACCCAAAGTATGGTTACACTGGTAAATTAGGGATATTAAGCGCTCTGTCAGTCCTGATTAAACCTAATTTGAACAGAGGCTTTTCATTGGCTTACATTACTTCAATTACTTATTTTCTTTTTTTAGATAGTATCATTCTTGTATAATTGTACACAATTATGTCAGGCTGAAAAGTTCTTAAATTTGTATATGTACAAAGGAAGGGATACTGGCAATTTTGTTCATACTGAGCTACTAGTCTCTTTATATTAGACTTATCTAAACAATTCATTCTTAACATCTTTTATAGACTTCTGAGTTGCCACTGCTCAGGTTTTGTATTTGGCTCTCTGATGTGTAGTGGGTTGCTAACCAGCACAGCAGGGTGTTGCATTTCTTAAGGACAAGTGGACATTTCTGTTGCTAGAATAGGGCTCTGAAGTCACACATGCTTGCAAGAGGTCAAGTTTGCTAACCTGGTATTCATCAGCATCTGTTTTACACTGGTTTCTTCCTTTGTTCTAAAAATGTTCCATTTTTTAGGCAGCTTCATTTCATATGCTGTTGTCTCCATAAATCTACTTTCCACCATTTTTTCTCTACTACATACAGGTATAAAAGTGTGGGAAGTGCCCCAGATCATCCAGATTCCTCTTTTTCCCATTCTCTGTTTCTTACTTCCTGTTCTCATTCCCTAGATAGCTATTAATTTGATACCTGGCAGATTTCCATGTTTTGAGATGTCTTCTCCAAATAATTTCTTAACACTCAACTTCTGATTGCCTCTCTCTTGGCAAAATGCCTCTCTGATGTCAAGAAGAAAGTAAAATCTCTTAATCTATAATAACAGTTCTTACCTGAAAGGTTTTGTTTGCCAGTCTGAGGACTCAAATTATTTTTTCTTGGTTTTGTATCCTGCAGGCAAAAAAGTTGTTAAGAGACAGCTGGTTGTTTAGGAACAGATGCTCTTACTATGTAGCAATAAGCGCTTTCCTTCATTGGCTGGGCAAGTTCTTATTCCTCTGAAGGACTGAAACAGTACTGATTCAAGAAGTCCATTTCTGTAAAAAGTTTCAGACCAAGGTCCTTTGTGTGTTACTATCTCCAAAGGCAGGTGATGAAGAGGAAGCCATCTCTGAGTCAGGTGCTGGGCAAACACGTGACATGGTTCATGGTGCCATCTCCGCTCAGTACCTTTCTTGCCTCACCTTCAGTTTTTTGGCTGAACACAAGTCTATTTGCCCTTCCTGTTTAGACAACTGCAACCTGTTTGCCAAGGAAGAAAATTGCTTTGGCAGCCTTATCAGTGTTTGTGGCAAAAAGCTGTGGAGAGCGATGTGTCTGCTCTGCTGCAGCATCCTATAACATCCCTGTATGCATTTCTGCTGTAATTCTGCACAAGTGAAAAAATGGGGTGGAGACCAAGACCCTTCTCTCTTCATCATTGCTGGCATTCAGATATAGAGAGAAGCTTCATGTTCCCCCTGAGTGAGAGCTGAGCTACCAGTTTGTGTCAATCATGTTCTCCATCTTTACACATGAGAGTAGCAGCAGTTGCTACTCTTTGAGCTCCCACAGATTTGGTAAAAATGCCTTCAGGAGTAGCTCCCTCTGCACCTTCCCCCCACTGCTGGATGTTGCTTAGAGCCACAATCCAGCCCTTAAACTGCAAATGGCTTAGAGCGGGGATTATGTTTTTCTTTTATGTTAAACAAGAGCAACCCACACTGAGTGTGCTCATTAAAAAATCATGTTGTTCAACACTGTTCCCTTGGGCTATGGTTAGAGCTTTGCAATTTAACATGTAAGAGACAGGTTGGATTCTCAGGCCAGCCAGGATCAGAAATGGATGAGTGGATGGCAAAACATCATGTTGGAAGAATAAACCCTATACCCAGGGTGGGGCAACAAGCCTTCAATAGGAGATGTTCATAACAATGTGATTGCTTAAATTAATTTAGAAAAAACTCCTAACAGGTGTTAGTTAAAGAATGGCTGTTTCTTTCAACCAGAAATATAAGCTCTTGGCCATGCTGCCTTGAAGATCACATTAAAAACTAAATAAAATAGTACTTTGTGCCATTACTAGAAGATGCATTTCTCATCCTTCCCTATCAAGGAAACATACCCTTCTCTAAAGACCACATGCATAGGTGGATAAAAAACATAGGAAAGAGGAAAAATTACTAAGAAGTTAATCGTGTTATACATTGTATTAACTTCATAAACGACCCTAATAATTTTGCTGTGGGTGAAGGGTATGAGGGAACTAGGAGAGATAAAAGATGTTATAACAGTTCAAGGATTCCATAAAATAGATTCACCACCTGAGCTGAATGCAGAATAATTATCTGAGAAAAACATTGAAACTTCAGGTTTTTTTCCATCCTAAATATCAGGAGCTTTAAGTGAAGAGAACAGGTTTGCACACACATTTTGTGCTTCAGATGTTTTGACCAGTTTCATCCTCTCTGGGCAAACTCTTCCATGCAAGATCATCCTATTGTAGCCTCTTGTTTTGGCTGCCCCCACAATGCTCCTGCTTCAATAAAGTTGCACTGGGCTGTGTGCAGGAGAGATATCTCCAAAGAGGATTAAGGCACAAAGGAGGGAAAAGTGACACCTCCTCCATTCTAATGGAGGCTGCAAAACCAATTGCATTAATACTCCCTCTATTCCTTAGTGCATGATTTGAAAATGAAATTTGTTAAGCAACTATCTCTGCATCATTATCATGATGAGGCAGCTCAATAGTTAGAGCCTCAATACTACCAGCCTGAACCTAGGGAGGCAGAATAAAACCTTCACTATTAAAATTGCAATTGTGCTGTTCACTGCTGGGATAAAAAAAAGAT